CTTCTTCAGATGCAAGCGTCTTGCATCTGAAGAAGTGAGGTTCTTACCCACGAAAGCTTATGCTCCCAATACTTCTGTTAGTCTCAAAGGTGCCACAGGACCCTCGGTTGCTTTTTAAAATTATCTTAGATTATTATTAAATCTCAATAACTAAATTATTTACTTTTCACTTATCCCCCACAGCTTAATCTCTACTTTTCCATAAAACTGAGGACCCGCACAAATACCTCACCAACAGAAGTTATTCCATAAAATATATTAGCTTGCCTACCTTGTCACACACAAACACAGAAACAAACCTTAGCCTGTCTGTGAATAGCAGGTCATCCGAGAAGTGCATCAGTGCAGCAGTTGTGAATTAAAAAGCTTTCCCATTACTTGCCTCCACTAAGTTCTACCCACTCCTCAAACTCCTTTGTATCATAGTCATCACGTTCAACAGCAATATTTTAAAATAGTCCTTGTTAGAGGACTACAAATGAACCTATGATCATAGTTTTCTTGGATGAAATACCAAGGGCAATATGTACTGGTTCTAGATTAAAGTGAGGTCCTGCAATTATTTAAATTTTAAAAGCCCTCTGGTGAAAACATCGGCCTCCCTGCCCATAGTAATGGGATCTGATATCAGAACAAATCCAAATAGGTCAGCTCAGAAATCACCTTTACAACTCAAGAATGGGCATGGTCTTCACACTTAGCCAGAGGTTAAATAAAAATGTCCTCACTTCAAACAGGACAATAACTAGTTATGAATTACAATGTACTTCATAGTAATTTGATTGCATAGCTCTTTACTGACATGTAACTCATAATCCAAGTAGAATCCATTACCTAATAACTTCTGCTGCCCATTTACCGCCAGGCCCTCTTTGGGCAGCATCATAATTCCCACGAGCATGGAAATATTTATCTGCATTTTTATAATTTGCCTCCCGCATGTCGCTGTATGCACGCCACATATCCCCAGCGCCTGGAGAAGAGAGAAAGGATTATAGAGACACTGCAAATTTAAAACAAAACTTAGATGTTATTCCATTCTAGTCACTTCACCACTGTGGCTTCCAAGTAAAGTGCTTCTAGAGAAGGCAGAAAGGCTCGTATATACCGCTGAGTAAATACTTGATTTTTTGGTTCAATGGAAGATCAGAGAAATCCCAAAAAGAGTGTTTAGTTTCAAACCAAAACTGATTTGTTATGGTTTTGCTCATCAAAATGAAAAACCGAAAAAAATTCTTCAGGTTGATTTGAATAGACATTTTTGCAGCAAAATGTCAGAATAGGCCACTGTGAAAATTATTACTGTAGTTTTGATCTTTTTTCTAGCCTAAACTATTTGCCAAATTTGACCAAAATTTGCAAAAATTTGCAGTGTCCCCCTGAAATGCATTTTTTGGTGAATTTAATATTTGTCCCTCCAAAAAATTGCCCTAACTTTCTTTGGTACCCAGGCCTCCCTTTAGAGATACAGGGATTTACAGCAATTTATGCTTTATTAACTGTAGCTTCCACCAGGTGACATCTTTGGAGGAGGAGATGAAAAGGAGTTCCTTTGAAAAGGATCTCATAAAACCATAGAATCTCCACAAAACTCTGTTGCAATATCTTTGGGGAATTCTTTAGGGGCAAAGAAACCCTCAAATTTCTCTCAGTGCTTTTCTAAGGGTCACCAGGACAATGGAGTAGAGGTGTGATTCCATGTTAGAAGCATCAGTCTCCTTTAGGGCTTTGTTTACATACAGTTTCTGCATCAATGTAACTAAATCTGTTTAGAAACCAATTTAGTTAAATCACTGACACACTTAAGTCCATTTAAACTAAATCCATTTAAGGCATTTGTAGGAGTGTTTATTCCAGGGTTTTGCAGCAATTTAACTAACAATTTCTAAACTGATTTAGACTGGAGACAATTGGGGACAAAGTGATGAGAATCTTTAGGCTACGAGTGTACAATGTGAGAACAAGAAATCTGATTTCATAGATGTGAACCTCTACCTACCACTATAGTTTTAAAAAGAAAAAACACCCAACACTTCTTACGAAAAGGGAGAGATCATGGAGTATCAACCTAAAAGTTAAAACATGAGGATACTAGGGTCTAAAAAGTGCAATGGCAAATAGGAGACAATAACTAGAATCAAAGATGATGCTGAGTTGTTTCTTGAGACTAAATAAATCATAATAGTAGAAGACCTGGTGGTCCACTATAATGTGATCCACATCTCCATCCACATACCTCCATGATTGAAAGCATCTCTATTCAGGAAGGGTACTTAAGCACATGCTTAAGATTTCTTAAATAAGGATTGATTTAAGCATGTGCTTAAGTGTTTTTCCTCAGTCAAGACCTAAGGATGCAGTTCTGCAAGATGTTGAATGCCCTCAACTCACCAGACTGGGAATTAGGGAAGTTCAGCACCTTGCAAAAGATGCTCATTCCTGTAGTGCTGAATCAGGACCCAAGTTATCTGACCCCAGAAACATTTCCGGGAGGGGGAAGGAAAGCTTCTGAAATTATTCAAACATTTACAGTATGTTATATTTACTTTACTGGGAATTGGCATACACCTCTCACAAAACTAAGAACTAACAAATAAAAGGTAATCATTAGTTATCAATGCATTTTTATGCCTCCAGATTTTACTAGACCCACTGAGATCCACATCAGGAAGTTGAAACAGTTAAAGTCAGAACATGGTCAGCTGAGTGCACAGGTAGCAGTTAAGCATCTTGCTAAACGTTAAATGAACCTTGTCTGGTGAAAATATCTGTTTAATTATAATCCATAGGATTTAGTACAATCTATGGCCCATACCTGCCATCTGATTTGCTCTGGTTCAGCAGCCTTGTGCTTGGACTCCCAATGAGGGACCTAAAACTGCATCTTTTTAAGGGGTCAGAAAAAAATTCTAATGTATCTTCTTGTGAAGAACTGAGTAAATTTCTTATTTACCAGTATTTATCAAAAATTGTTCTAGAGCTCCTGTCTTTGGCTTGGCTTTGGTTTTATTATTTTATTTATTTTATTAATAGCTACACCATGCTCCCTGCACATAACTTTCGAGAACAGTTTGGATGACGAACATGCAGTGAGTAAAAAGCATACCTCGATAAGCATCCCTTATGAATGCTCCAGCATCAGTGAACCAGTTCTGGGCACTGACACACAGTACCAGGGACAACAACAACATGCAGTTGTAGAAAGTCATCATGATCGGGAAGGTATTGTGAAACAGTGCTAAATCAGTCCTGCTCACTAGCCCAACAGAATTCTATGACTTGTAAACACAACAGACCATAGCTGTACTGTCCATTCTCAATGCCCTGTTGACCAATCTGGCTTTGAGCTTTCTGGAAGCTTTTGGAAGTGTCTACATTCAACAGTAACAGCCTAGACAGCAAAATGACATATTAGGCTGAATCGTGTAATTTTCCATTAATCTTACTCATTTTATTCCCATGAGCCTCTACATTTTTTTAGACAAACTCCAACTAGTCTTGTAAAAAAAGGGAAAGATAACTCCTAGGTAGTGTTATCCTGGATAGAATTTACTACTTGTAGTAACAAAACTGTAGAGATTTAGACGCTCAGTAGTCCCTGAGCTACACCTGCATTTTCCCTTAGATTAACTGAACTTGCTGGATACCACTCATTATAATGCATTCGTTTTTCAGACCCTCTATGATCTGCCTACCAGAGACACTGCACATCATCATTTAAAGTAGCAGTGGGTTGTATAGCTGGAGCTCTCCTAACAGTGGTATTTAAGGTTATCTACATGTTTCCTTTAGCCCTCTTTTCATTCACTCAACATTCTAAAAACATTCAAGCTTCTGGACTGCAATTTTACAGGCCTGGTCTCCACCCAAAAGGAAACTTTTTTTTTTTTAATTTGAAACAAAATCCATTCAGTACATTTTGTCCTATTATAACAAAAAAGTTTGAAGGGCAAAATGACTGGAGATAAACAATTAACATTTGGTAAGTTAAAAGGAAGTTCCTTGTAACAATACTTTGGATTTGGCAGGCATGCGGGTTTAAGAATCTCACCTTATATTTAAACACTGATTGGTATGATTTTTCAGCACTTTTTAACTGATGTCCTAAGAACGAGTATGCTGCTGTGGCTAACTTTGCCATGCAGTATGCCAGCCTTCGGATCTTCACAGTTAAAATGCAAACAGTATGAAGCAGAGTGCTGGTAATTTACAATATCATGCAGACAGTCCTTTAACATTCCTCAATGTTAAAAGCTTCATCTGTTCCATGTCTAAAGTTGTCAATTCAGTAATATGCATAATTCAGTGACATTCAGGGTTGTTCTTACAGAATATGTTTTTCTTTTCTTTTAAAAGCTTAAATTCCATAACTTTCTAAAGTTCTTAAATTTACACAGGCAAAAATAAGATTCCACAGCTGGCTGTTTGCATAGTTGAAAACACTCTCAAAGAATGCAGTTATAGTATTTCTACAATCTTGTAAGAGGAGCGAAGAGTGATATAGGGCCCTGGCCCTACTAACTGTAGATCTTGTGTATAAACTATTTTCACAAACTTCATGTGTGACTTATGGATTGTACACAGGGATATAAGTGTCACACAGGTGTCTAAGGCCATCAGAAAAAATGGCATAATATATAATGTTATCAAAAGTTTGACAAAGTATTTGAGGGCGGTATAGTGATGCATACATGCACATAAGCAGTGTTAAAGCTGCACATTCAATTTTAACGTTGGCATTTCCTGACTTCAGCATGTTTCAAGGTAGAATCTTTATTGCCCTTATGGAGTTTTTTAAATGGTGTTTGTGCAGGGAACACACTTGACACTGACATCACATGCACCAGCCGCAGGCTGCATGAACCTCTTGCATATATACAATCTTTTTCATCCACAAATCTCCAAGTGTTTTACATAGGCAGGTAAGTATCTTCAGTTTACAGGTAGAGAAACTGAGGCACAGAGACACAATAGATCAAAGGCCACAGCACTCACTGGTAGAACCCAATTCTACTGATTCTCAGCAAGGTTGTCTTATCTTTTGAGACCTACCCCACCTCACTGAGAAGATATCCAAAAGGCTAGGCTTATTGTGAAAAGTTGGAAATGAGCCTGGGCATTCCAGTAAGACAGATGATTAGGGTATCTAATGAGGAAAGGTACAGTTTCAGTCACAGATCAAGAAAGTCCTTTCAGTTTGTCCAGCAGAAGATGTCTAAGCATCAGAATAAAGTGCTGTCCTCATGCTTGCAGGGTAATACCTCCAGTTAAACCCAAGATTGCCCTGTTTGTGAAACCACATGATCTAATAAAACCTAATTACGGCTAAAACAGAAGTCAGAATATTAGCACATCTTCTGAGTCTTAAGAACACCATGCATCCTCCAGAGGAGTCCAGATGCTTTTACTGGATACAGAGTGGCTGGTGATTTTTCTAAGAGAGGGGATATAATGTTCTGGTTCTTTCATGTATAATATTTGACAGTTGAGTCTTTTGTATTTTTTTCTTCTGTTAAACAATGTACAAAAATGTAAATACACTTAGGTATTATTGCAACTACACCTCTTTGGGGGTTTGACCAACATATTTGGATTCTTGTCTTGACATACAAACCTACTATACAGACAATCTTACTATTAAGCCAAGTGACATGATTTCACAAAGAATTAGCCAAAAAGGTTAAACACAAGTGTTAAATGGCTCAGAACGTATCTGGGTGACAGACTTTCCTTTCTTATGCTAGCAGTGTGCAACTGCAGCATTTCTTAGGATGAAGTCACAATGTGGTCACGTATCCTTCACATCTTATTCACATATAAATGAAGAAATCAAGACTAAGTCAGAAACACTTTTCTTTTTATTGAAACCTCTTAAAATTAGTTGAAACCATGAATACAAGTTCATTGTAGGTGCAATAAATTTAAAAAATATTGTATAACTGTGGTTAATATGAACAGTGCTATGCAAAATGAAAAATAAGCTCTTTGAAAGAAAGTTTGTGATATATTGTAAAAGTCAGCATTGTTAACTGTGCGTTTTAAAATAAAGGTTATTCTGTACTGTGATAGACCCAGGCCAGTTGGGTACAACAAAGTAGTAGAGGCAGATATACTGGCCACTGGATTAGCAGTTTTCTGTTTGCTGACTGACCAGAGCAGGGGCTGCTCTAGATTAATGAGAACACCTGACTCCAATTAACCTGCAAAGAGTCAGGTGAGTCCATTAAGGTAATGTGAACACCTGACTCTAGTTAAGGCCCTTTTGATACTATAAAAGGGCTCACTCCAGTCAGGCTGGGGAGAGTCAGAGGAGAGGAAGTGCAGCTGAAGGGCTGGCTAATGAAGACACCCTCAAACCATCGGTAAGGGAGCCCTAAGGTAAGGGGGAAGAAGGGAGAAGCAGGAGAGCTATAGGGAAGTGGCCCAAGGAAATGTAGCAACTCTGGCAGTGAAAGGTTGACCATACTCTCCCTGGGCCGGAACCCAGAGTAGAGGGCAGGCCCGGGTTCTCCCCAACCTGCCACTACAGAAACACCTCCTAGGAAAGGAAGACAGGCCCCTGTCAGGACAGGAGGCTAAACTGTTCTGAAATAAGCCCTAGAGACAACAGAGACTGTGGGAGTTCTCTCACCAACCTCCTTGCTGGCTTATGATGAAAAGGGCTCAGTAGACTGTAACCCTGGCCTTAGGGAGAGAAGGGCTACGTGGAGGGTCACAGGTGAGCCACTGAGGCTAGCATAAACCGCCTAAAAGCGCAGGACCCACGGGGACAAGGTCAGAACTCTGCCACAGTACACAAAGCTTTCAGCTGTTTTTCCATGTCACTTCATCCTCTAAACTGAAAAGATTTCACTAGACTTCTCCCAAAGAGAACTGGTTATGTATTTTCCTGAGACAGATGATTCTTTCACTTATATAGCTCTTTACTTCTTTGAAGTGCTGTATAAAACTGAACCAA